GATGGATGGGTCCCAATAGACCCTTTTCATTTCTAACGTCTATAATTGCATGGATAAAGCTAGATGAGAGAGGTATCAACATCGAGGGAAAACTAAGTCACCTGGCATCACAAGCCCAGGAAGGGGACAAATAAAAATAAAATAAATCATGGGCACTGCTACCACTCTTGATCCCCATCAGCTTTTGGACCAAAGCTTACAGTGATTTCACAGACATGCCCAATGGTGGAATTTCAGTTGTTCATAACAAAATGCTAGGGCTCAGGCAGCTTAGTACATTCAGCTATGGGTACAAAAAGCTTGTTTAAACAGCAAGAAGCAAACAGTCTCCGATCTGCCCTGGGGGCCTCTGTGTTTAGGCTAGTTCTACAGTCTGATTCAAGCCTTGATCTAGACTGAATGGAGGTTAGAACATCAGGAAGAAAGAAAAGAGATCGGGACCAGAGTGTGGCAGTGCAAGCACCCAGCTGGGGGTGATGTGAGTGATGGTTTGCTCTCCTCCCCTGCCCCCCAAACACTTTTTTCAGAGAATCCTTTCCTCATCTTTTCAGCTATTATAACACCTCCCCCATTTACTAGCCCACTCCAAGCACTGCCTGAACAAACACATAGAAGCCTTAGCTATTCCTTTATGGAAAATCTCATACAAATTTACCTATGCTCAATACTGAAGAAGATCCATCAGGATGGAAAGGAACTAAAGCTTCCCACAGAGACACGAAAACAACTGGAAAACATAGTAAGTGCTGAGCCTATTAACTTGTTCTGGTCTATTCTTTTCAACTTCCTATATCACTTCCATCGTGATATCTTGATCACTATGCTTCCATCTGACTCATATGGGATAAGAAGCAATCACAAACCTTTAACGACCAGGACAGGCCCGTCCTAACTTGTAGATTTTAGCCCATATTTGTCACACAGGATCTCACTGAAGCCAACAAGAATTTGAGCAAAATTAAGGGCCGACAACTGGTCCTTGAATGGACTTTTGTGGAGCTAGGGCTTCTCACACTCATATTTCACCTTGCCAAACTCTGTCCTGATTGAGGGCAGATCCTATGAGATGCTGATGCTGGCATCCCATTTTAGGAAAAGTTGCAAGCAGAGATGCAGTGAGTACAATTGACCCTGCAGCTTTTGGGTAAGTTGGATGGTAATCCTGTAATGGGGATGCCGTTTGTGTGAGTTGTGCAAACAACCAACAATAGCCGCAGAAGGAGAGAAGAGACGCTAAAAGACTTTGAGCTTTGTTTCTTTCTACTCCAAATGGAGTAGCATTCAATCTGTGGACAGATTTTGACACTCAGCACTTCAGAAAAAAAGCCTTTTCTTTTATTTTCTTCTGGGAAATGGTAAATCAACAAAAGATTACTAAACTCTGTCTCACAGGGCATGATAACTGGGAGCTAAATGGGGAACTTTGTTCAGATTTGCACCTCTAATTTTCAATATGAAACTGACCACACTATCAACTTGTACAGGCATCTGTTTTGGGTGTGCATACACTTGCGTGCAAAAAACCAGGTAGCTGAGCATTCACCCATTTGATCTAAATGTTCGCAGAATAGGCCTATCCTCAATTTTCCATGAGTACCTGCTAAGCTGCATGTTCAAATACAGAGGCCAACTGAAAATATGGCTCCAAATATTAGATTTGGACAAAACCCTTTGAATCTAGGAATTTTAAAACCTGGTCAAATATCAATATGAAAACACTTTATGTGCCTTAGAGTCTTTGTATGAGTTTCACATGTGGACTGAAATTTCCACACACTATTTTTTATTTAGTAATACTACAAATTTGATGGTGTGTGTGTGTGTGTGTGTGTGTGTACACATACATATAGAGTTCATCTCTTTAGACTGCCACCTTCATCCAATTATAGAAGTTAGAGATGGAAGAGATCAGCTAGCTAATCTCCCTGCCAGTGCAGAATTGTTCCCAACAGAATACATATTCTCCAGCTCAGCCAGTTGAATAATTCCTTGTGAATAATATTTGTTGTAAATTTTGGCATTTTCCATCAAATAAATAAAGTGTTTGCTATCAGCATACCTCTGTTCTCCATTGTTTTGTTCGCTCTATTTTAAAACACCTCAGATTATGCTGTTTCCATCAGGATCAATTTTATTATTTAAAAAGATGCCACTGAACAATACCATGGACTCAGCATTGGAAAATTATTTCTTAATAAAGAAAGGAGGGAAACTGCTAACTTCCATTCTCCCTATTCTCTTTCTCTTCCAAATATTCTGGGACTTCACGAAGAACATGCTTTTCAGATGGTTTAGAAAAAGAAAGTTAGACTCTTAATGGCCTGTTTTTTTGCTGTGTTTGAAATGAATGATTCATCCTGATCTTGCTCAGACTTTGTGCCACTGTTCAGTTCCATTTCTAGAAAATCCATTTCTTTAATTCTGGCACTGCGTGTGGGACCCAGCAAATCATGGAATTACTGCTGTAACTTCGGATTAGTAACGCTTTCTAAATGATAGTCTAATTCCAGGCCTTCATGCTTTTCAGCATTCAAACTCACACAGCCTTTTCCCTGGGAGGCCTCCTGTGGAATTAGTGCAGGCGTCTTCTTCTTCCTCTGCCCTTTTTAATTTCTCCAATGACTTCTCATTAGAATATAAAATGACAAGAACTTCTCAAAACTTTTTTCTTTCTGTATAGTCACAGATTAACTCTAGATCCCTCCTCCTTCCCCCTCCACCCCAGGGTTGTTAGAATCAGGAGTGCAAGGCTATTGCTTAGGAAATAACTGTATTCTGCCACAGTTGTAAGGTGGGATGGAAATTTTAAAAGGCCACAACAAATGTTCTCCAGGATTTCCTATTCACCTTGTCCACTTCAGCTTGTTGATGTACACTAAATGTCCACACCAAGCAAAGCTCTTTTCTCATGGGACTAACCCCTTTGGAATTGTGTGGTTTGCCTACACACGAACACCCCCACATGCTATATAGGAGATTTGGGGTGGAAGAACTTTCACTAAGCAGGTTGGTGCTGTCTGAGGAATAAAGAAGGGTTCTTGCTCCCAGAGTGAGCTACTTACTTAATATTCAGGACAAGAGTTTTAAACTCAATGGAGGGTTTCTAGTGCAGCCAGACAGAATACAATGCACCTCTAAAGCCACCATTTCTTCACACTGAATTGCCCGCGGCCAAGTCTGCAAAGCCCACGTTGCCCAGACAGGCAGAGCATTATATGATCAAGAAAGAAGCAGGAGATGGAGGCCCGACAGGCAGGGAAAGGAAGTTAGAAGATCAGAGAAAGCCCCACATAAGCTAATGAACACACAGGGCTATATGGCCATAGTCCTTACTCAACTCAAATTGCTATTGAAATCAATGTTTGCACTGGGCAAGGAACAAGTAAGGACCACAGGTGGGGTGCTGAACCAAACAATCCAGAGAAAGCGAAGACAAGAACAACTGTTGAGGTGAAGCCCATTGCATGCTGAACCCTAATGCCCTCCAGGAACCTAGTAACATGCTATCAGGCCCCTCGCCAAAAGCAAACACATCAATAAATAAATAAAATCAGGCTGTCACACTTGGAAGGGGGGAAAGACAGGAATGGCTCTTTTAAACCCCACCACAACTCTCAGTGTCAGGGCCTTCAAAGAATTCCCAGCATCCTAGGTAAAATCTCCATAGTAATACAGTAACAATGGCAATAACCCAATTCTGGGATGAGACCCTAAGCTATGTAGTGCCTTGATCTGTGCATAGTGGGTTGCTAATTGGTCAGACCCATACACAGCTACATTCAAACTAGAATAAGCTGGAACTGTCCAATGAAGAACTGTGTGTTTCAGAACAGAAACAGCCCTGCCTGCAGAGTATGGCTGGCTCCCTGTTTACAGCAACAACTATCCAGCTCTTTCCAGCTCTCCAGCAAGCTCCAGAGAGAGCAGGGGGTGGTAGCTAGGTTACTGCTGGCATTGACTTTAAGCAGCAAGTATATTCAAAGTCCACCTGCTGCTCAGGAAAAGGAATCCAACTAAAGCCCTTTCCCCTTTTAAGGGTATGCAATACAACACACACACACACACACCTTCCACTCCCTGCCTGTCTGGACTCAGCATCCCAAGGCACATGGGGAAATAGGTGCAGTTTTTCAGCTGTCATCCCCCCTTTAATTCTTGCTCTCCGGTTGGGGTTCGCTTCCACCAAGTACAGCAAAGAAGCTGGTTTGCCTCAAACCGGCTGCCAAAATGTGCCAGAAGAGACTCAGCAGAGTGCACGGTGCTTTGTGTTACCATGGGAACGGAATGCAGATTTCCCAATTGCTTTTTTTATTTGCTAGACATTGTAATATATATTATGTTTCAGCGTCTCGGTTTTGCGATGGAGGAAAAGGATCCTTTCTGAATGTTAACCATTCAGGCAACTTGGAGAAAGAAAGTCCCCACCGTTAAAGCAGGTGGTTTGTATGCAGGCAGAGTCTCTGTGGCAAGGCCCTGCCCCTAAGATCCAGCCCCCTTCCTATTGAGAATACCCCCCTTCTTTTCTGCTTCACTTCACTCTGCACAGAGACCCCAACTACACACAAAAGCAGCTGCCAAGGCCCATGAAAAGTGATCAAATTATCAAGAACTTGACCTCTCCGAGGCGCAAAGCTTTGGGAGGCCCGAATCAAACCCAGACCAGCCAAATCCGAATGCTAATGCGCGCTTCGGGGTTTGACTGGACGAATAATTTGATCACGGGCCATTGTTAGACGTCTACGGCCCCCCGGCCCCTCCTCCCTTTCAGGCTGCCTCACGAGAGGGCTGATTTCCATCTCCTGATTCAGGAGCCAATTCCAAATCACCTTCAACAGACTGGGGCAAACTGATTTATGGGGCAGTAAAAATCTTGGCTTCCCGGCTCCCCTTTCCTGGCCGCTACCTGCCCCCCTCGCATTTTGATCCCTGGCTCCCCAAAGGGGCAAGACATTCACGAGGGCGAGTCGGAGAAAGCCACAACGGAGGCTGCAGAAACGTACCTGAGTCTGGAAGGAGCCGGGGAATCCTCGGAGGTGAGCTGGGTTTCTCGAGGATCCAGGGTGCGTCTGGCCCCGCGTGTCTCTTGCTCCATTCGCTCCCCAGCTCCAGGCAGGGTTGGAAGTCATTTCTACTTTCGGTTATCTAGCTTTATGATGGCTTAATAACACTCATACAGCTAGATAACCAAAGACAGAAACAGCCCTCCTCCTTCTCGGCTCTCCAGGGCAGCCAACGCTGGAGAGCTCCCGGGGTGGGTTAAGGAGCGGAGGCTGGCTGGGGCGTTCTTCTGTCTGCCAGCAGAGGAGAAGGGGAGAGAGAAAGAGAGAGAGAGAGACCTATGAACGCATTTCACTCAATGGAAAGACACGGGCAGGCGCTGCTCTGCAGGGTCTCGCTGGGACGAAGCTGCTGCTGGAAGGTCCCTCAGCATCTCTGGAGCCCACCCTCCTCCTGCAGGGCGGTGAGACCCACCCGGGGAAGTGCCCAGCTCGCGTGGCAGACATGCTCTGAGGTGCTGAGATGCCGGACAAGAGCAGAACTCGCTCACTTGCTGGCCAACTTCTACTCTTTTCTGATGTTAATCACCCCTCTGGGAAGTGACATCACCACCCGGCAGAGCCAATGAGAGGCCTTGCATTCAAATCAGAACGCCTTCCCGCTCTTTTTTTTCCTCCCACAAAGCACCCCCCCCTCCCCCCAGCAATAATTTAAACTATATTCCCCGGGTTTTTTTAAGCTGCACTTTCTCAGCCACATCAGCAAGTGTTTGCATCCTCCCCATCAAAGAGATTCTCCGCGTCAAGACCTGTCCATCCGGTCCAGACTAGGAGGTTAGGTAAGTGAGGAGGATTATAGGACAGACTAAGAGTAAGATCTGCGCACTAGTTTGGCTCAGCACATGGGGAAGGTTCGGCTGTTCCGCAGTCTACCCCCCTCCATGGGATGGATTGGGCCAATCTTCGTTGTAATATGTAGAATGGCAATGAGCGTGGGACGGGCAGAAAGCGGGAACATAAAGCGCCAAGATCTCGAGGTTACCTTCCCGTTTGTCTTTTGTGGAGCCTTTGCAAAGCCCAGCGCGCAAAGTAAAAGCAGCAACTGGCTCCTTCGCTGTTTCAAGTGGAACAGGCTGGGTCGGGGCTGCAGTTTTTCCCCCATTTGGGATCTAATCAAGTCATTTTTTTCCAATCTTGCCATTGCACCCAAAACACCGTTCGACTGGGACACAGGACATTTCAACGAGGGGAAATAACACCACCCCCCGCGTACAGTGCACGTGCACTCAGTACACTTCAACACGTGCCGGGCACGCGGCTCCCCTTCCCGAAAAAGAACTGGCGCTCAGAACTCAGCTGCACTTCGCTAAATACAAGCCCCTCCCTCCCCTCCCTGTGAATAGCATCCCAGAATTAGGACTCTGCTACATTGGTTCTAATATAAATACCATCCGACGTCATTACCAATATGTAATTCCCTTCCGTCTCTGCTACTTCGCCTCTTTATATTATTTCTGTGTTTTAAATACAGGGTTTTAGTTATATAGCTATATATAGATACTCCTCTATACATGTATCTATATTATATCTCGCATTAGATAGGCATATAATGCACATGTGAGAAATACACGAGGTATTATCTTGGGTCATCTGACCTAAACCCAGCAACAACAATAACAACAAATACCTAATCTCCGTCCATTTCTAGACAATGCTCCCTTAGATCTGATGTGGCGGTAAAATGTGACCTTCTGCAAAACAGAGGATATGTAAAATGAGCAGATTAGAGAGATAAAAAGCACTGGCTAAATACAAGCATCCAGAATACCAGCACCTCGAGGCTGATAGTTTCATTCCCTCTCCCCAACCCCCTCTCTTCAGAAATAAACTGGAAGCTCAATCAGTTTAAAAGCTAAAAGATCAGCTCTATCGGCCCATATTTAGAGACAACTGTGTAAGACGCTGGAAAATGAGAGAGCTTCGTGCTGGGTTTTGGCACTTCCCCAATGAAATAATTCGGTGGCTTTAAGCACACGTTTTGCAATGTGCCGTTTCGTTCTCTCTTTCTTGTGCAATAGTCAATCAGATTGCCCCTCGTTCACATTTCTAAAGGGAGTACATTTCTATTAGCTGCTAATTCAGTCCATATATCTCTATATATTTTAAAGCCGTCTTTGTTTATTCTCCAGTCTCTGGGCTCCTTCGCACAGCCCCGAAGAGACCAAGCGCTTTTAATCTTCCTGTGCTATGAAATCTGCATCAGCCCAAACCCCTAACATCGGTTTCCTTTTATATTTCTAGCCCGAGATTTTTAGCTGCGAGCTTGAGAGATATTTGGTGACAGACAGCTTTGAAGAATTTCTTCACCCGGACGCATATGGCAAAAAACTCCACATTGGTGGCTAGAGAATACAGATTTTAGGGCTAGCACCAATTCCGCTTTCTTTACATATTCTGTTCAAGTCACTCCTTCACTAATATAGCCACCTCAGAAAAAAATCTCTCCCAGTATCTGTATTTGTGTACACGGACATTCTGTCTGTCATTGTGTGGAATTAGTAGCACGCAAACCGGAGTTGTCTAGTTCACTACAAAGAGGATTATAACGACATTCGATCTAATTCCACCCTGCCACCGCGTCGTTCTGTAGACTGGGGCAAATCCCTTAACTCCCTTGCCTCAGTTTCCCCACGTGGAATTTTGGGGTTACACTAGTTACTGATCTTACTGATGATTCAGTACTCAAAATATCGAATGCTATCGAAAGGCTACTAGAGTAGCAAATGAACGAAATATACATTCTTTTTTAAAAATTCACGTTTTCTTGGACTCATTGCACCGAGTGAGAAAATTTGGATTTTAGCACATTGTAAAATAGTGAAAGTCACGACCAAAAAAGGAGACAGGACTAGACAGAGAGAGGGTGCTTGATCTAACTTTGACCATAAGTAATGGGTAAAGCTCTCGAGTTCTCTCTCCAATGTAAGCATCACATAGAACAATAAGACCAGTGATGCCTTTCCCAACCTCCTGCCCTGGGCGGCTGTTCTGCACGAAGGGTAGGAATTGTGATGGGGGCGATCAGATAAATTGAGGGGGGCGGCTCACGGCCTGTTATTTCACCTCCGCTGGGCAAGAAAATACAGTGTACTGTATTGCCAAGTGATTTTTATTGTATTGTAATTTTAGTAAAATGCCTGACTCTTCTTTCCAGTGGCAGAATGAATATGACCAAGGCACATCTCCATCCTACTATTATGGACGGGGGAGGGCTCTTACTTGAGAGAAAGTGGCCCTTCTGGTGTAATTTAAGCAGGATGCACACAAAATGGCTTCTTGGTACACTGCAAATAACTAACAAGCAGCGTGGGGAATGCATCCAGACCAACAGCAGGGTTCGAGTGCTCGATTTGCCAAGGATTTCATTATGTTTTACGGCGGTTGGGGGGGCAAGGAAGAAAAAATACCACCCCAGTATGAGTGTAACTCTGTGGAACTCCCCTCCCACAGGGCGGTATTACTGCGTGGAAGGCAAGTCAAAGGCAAAGCCTTTGTAGAGCCGGTCCTCTGGGCAGCTAACGGGAGCATCTGAAGACATCAGATCAAGTTGGAACATTGGGCTCAAACTCACCCTGCGGCTGATTCGGTGCATTCTACCGCCTGACGCGGGGAATTACGCAGGTGTCAGATTCCACCCACTTACGGGCGCAGGCCTCTCCCGAGACAAACGATGGAAATGTTGGAAAAGGGGCTGGAGGAGGTTAATCTCTCTTGGCGGCTTCCTTCTCTATATTTAAAATGGTCATTGAATTCACCCGGCGCGGATGTCGTAGAGTTGGAATTACCCAGAGAAACAGATTCTTCTCTCTGGGAGATTCCATAGCCTCGGCTGGGCTATTTTAATCGCTCCAAACAATATTTTATTTATAATATGAATATAGAAAAATAAACATAGATTTTAAACATATATACACACATAAACAGGGACTTATCCATTAGATAGATAGATAGATAGATAGATAGATAGATAGATAGATAGATAGATAGATAGATAGATAGATAGATAGATAGATAGATCATGCATTATGGTAAAATTTATTTAATCGCTCCAAACAATATTTTATTTATAATATGAATATAGAAAAATAAACATAGATTTTAAACATATATACACACATAAACAGGGACTTATCCATTAGATAGATAGATAGATAGATAGATAGATAGATAGATAGATAGATAGATAGATAGATAGATAGATAGATAGATAGATAGATCATGCATTATGGTAAAATTTACTTTTAAAATCTGAACTACAATCTCTATTATTGAGACAACCCCCACAGAACTCTCCCAAGACTTCCGGCCTTGCCACCGCGAGCCATTTGTCACATACAATAAAAGAAATAGACCTAGATGTTTAAATAAGCCGCGTCCATCTCATGCCACCCAAGTTCCCAAACTTGGCATCTGGGCGTTTCTAACAGGCAGCCATGCCTCTGCCCATCTCTGTCGGAGACCTTGCTACGCTGCTGCGGTTGTTTAATCCAATTAATGGTGAGCTCCGGGGATGGAATCCGCAAGGCCACGTTCTCTAATTGCCCCTCTCCCGGGCTAAGGAGGTGTGGGCCATCAGCCGAGCCAGGCCGTGCCAGAGGCCTCGCCCCCAGCCCTCCATTCCGAGAGGATGCGGAGCAAGCGGCACCGGTGCTGACATACATAGGGTGACTCCATTCCGTCAGGCTGCCAGTGCCTCGGAGCCAGGAAACAAGCCCCGACTCCTTCCGCCCGCGCTAGGCACAGAACTACCGCCGCCGAGCTGTGGCACTGACCATGGTGCTGCAAACCTGCTGCCATCCCTCCGGCGCGGCGGGGCACCCTGCCCTGTTCCCCTAGCGGGGCTCTCCAGCAGCCCCTCCATCACCTGTTCCATCCCGAGGCCTGCAACAAAAACAGCCGCGGGCAGTCCCTCAATCCAGATAGTCTCCAGAGAGCCCATCCCAGCCTGAACGGCCCCCGGCTCAAGTCAGGCCCCCTCCGGCGCATCGCGGGCTTCTCTCCTGGGAGTAGGCGAGGGAGACGCTCCGGTCCGGCAACCCTTAGTCAAGGGGGGTTGGATCCACCTGATTTGCGGGCTCCTGCTACCTAATTAATCCACCAGGCCTGAATGAAATCCAGTCCCGCTCAGCAGAGGCCAAATAGACCACGGGACTGGGCCACACGCCTCATTCTCGGGCTTGCCCAGTCCAGGGGCCCTGGATCCGTGTGTGTGCGTGTGCGCGCGCGTGTGTTGG